ACCCATTAGACCTCATGGTCTGCATAAGTGAAACAATGCAGGTCCAGCCGCCATTTTGCCCAAAGGACCGTATCAATAGTGGCACATCTCCATCCTGATGCGCGTGTCACAGCGCCAGAAACCCTCAAACTCAAGATCTCAAACCCTGAGCTCGAAGCTCGAGCGTTTGTAAGGGCGCTTAATCCAGTAAAACTTGTCTATGACAGTTTGGACGCCTGTCCAGGCAAGGGGTGCAGGGATCAGCGACAGTTTGGCTCGGCATCGTGGTCGCACATTTTCACGCAATTTCACATCATTTCACGCCGGACCTTCTGTTGGAGGGTCTTTGGCCTTTTGCTTCACGCATTTGCAAGCGTGCTGGTATGGCTTGCTGCTAGGTCTTGTAGCCGAATGAAACATAAAGTTCACGCCATACATGTCCCCAAATTGCCTAACCAATCTTTGCCTAGGGCTGAGGTCTTGGGTTCAGGGTTGGCTGCATGCATATTACTGTTTTTCGAGAATTAGTTTTCTTGCTTACGTTGAAAACACCATGGACGATCATTCTCCATTTCCCACTGTAGCCCTGTCACTCGGGCCAATTAAAGAGCGTTGAGAAACACTGAAACCTTCCTAGGGAAGATCTTTGAGTGTCCTGGCCCCTCGAGTTTCCCAGGTGTATACCAAGTCCTTCCAAGGGGAAGCTTTGATTTCGTATGTTCCCATCTTAGGTTTTTACGCGAGCATGCATATTGAGGTCTTGGGAGCCTCAGGGCAATAGTAAAATAATGTAAAGGATAAATAAAATAGCAATCCTAAACAACAATAGTAGATAGTAAGTAAAGTTAATGGCAACAAATAGTAGTCTACAAATTCATGCCGCGTGTATATGTAAACAGACACCTGCAGCGATGGAATAGAAAGAGCGGGATGATATCGCGTGGGATGATGCCATGCCATGCGGAGCGTGCGATGACCTGATTACGATGTGTGGCCATCACACAGGTCACACTCACAGCGAGCTGATGGATTTGCCACAGGCCTAAACCACAAGACTGAAACAAGATAAGTTGTGTTTTTGGTCGCTTTGGAGTGCAAAGCATTCTTTCGCGCCCACGTTCATGGTCCACCGTAGCAACGTTGAAAGTCTCACGTTCTGGGCAATTCTTGTGGTCAGTGGACTTTTCCTTGCCATATGCTAAGAGTGGCTTCTCGCCCACTCGTTGTGGTAAAACAGCAGCAAGCCCAAAAAGCACATCAAATGGGATGTGTGGGAATCGCTCGGCTACGATGGTTTGCATAACCAGCCAGTGCTAGGCTTCAACCGATTTGTTGGATATTTGGAGTCAAGCTCACCGCATCCGGACCACAACAGCCTCTCGCACTCGTTGTACATTGAATTGCCGTTGCAGGATGTTACATGGCCACAAAGGAACATGTCATAAGAAACAAATGTCAGAGAACGGCGTGAGAACGATTCCAGAGTTGCCATCTTGTGGAGGCGTGTGGTATCTATGTCCATAGCTATATCCGAGATGTCATGAGGCTGTGACTGCTTGTCATCCCTCTGAAAATCTGAAATGCGAGATCATTGAGAGTCGGCAACCACATCCCTTTGTGAAGCTCCTGAGTTTTTACGTCTGGGACACTTTCACAATGCAGGTATACCTTATTTACGTGATCAAGAACCTAAGCAATGTACAGTAGCTGTCTCTACTGCCCCTGCCTGACATGAGAATGGCTTTGGAGAAATGCCCCCGTGATTTGGGGGCCACTAGGTGAACTGAAATGGATGCAGCGCCAGCCGACCAGCCCATAACCTCCAAGCAAAATGGCATGGTCTGACGAACGATTCTGGCACGATCCTGTATTTGGCTGAGCTTCCAGCCGTGACCCTGGCCGGATCACCACCTGCACGGTCCAATAAGTACGTGGCAAGCGCACTTGCCAAGAACGGATGCAATGTGTTCCGCCCTGCATGCCAGTGATTGCTGGGGCCGGGGCCGAAAGCGCGAATGTGCTTCTGGACCCAATCCAATGCTAGCCGCTGGTCCTCTCTATACTTGGTAGCTGTGTGCTTCTTCACGTGCCCTGCAAGCATCTACACCGGGTCAGGAACCATGTGAGCATATCCATTTTGTCTCCTAAACTGCAGCACACACACCCGAGGAGTAAAGTTCTGATGTGTGCAGGACCAGCTAATGGGCGAATGGGCGAGAGTTGTCTCGGGGCCAGGATGCCCGTGAATTCCTCAGCAGCTCAATCCACGGGAAACCGGCAATGAGGGTGGCACTGTCATACGAACCGGCTTTGATACTACAAAGCTGACAGAAAAGCAGAATTCTGACTTGCATGCCCTGTGCAAACATCGGAGCAACATGCTGGGCAGCTGCTCCTGTATCCCAAAGTTTCCTGTGGAGTTATCTCTGGCGCGGAAGGAATCAGAGCCTGAAAAGCCAAAGACGCCCAGGCCTTAGCACCAGCATGATCCTCTCTGTAATCAATTTCATGAACCAACACGCCACAGTCTTGGATGTTGCCAGCATTCTGTCTGCAATCTGCCATGGCAAGCCATGGCGCGATAGTTAGTGCTGACGACCACCTGGGCAGGATTCGCGCATGTTGGCGCAATATGCATCAGATGCATCAGCAACCCTTAAAATCCCATCAGCAGCTGAGGACACATTTCTTGCAGTATAGGCATTCCCTAGAATGCACCAGGCTCAACTTATGCGTCGTTCCGAAGCGGATGATGGTGGTATGCAGATGGCGAGAATGCCATTGATAAGTCCAGGATGCTACCCGGTTCATCAATGCTACCACAAGTTGTGTGCACACCTGTCGGGTAAGATGCGGGGCTGCCATATATTCCCATAGTAAGGTGCAAAGCTTTCAGACGCTACAGTATGTGTGAAAAGCCGCCTCATATCACTTGCTGAACGCATTGGCACGGCACGAAGAAAAAATGATGGCAAGACACATAACTACGAGTAGCTGCCTGTAGTCAGGAAACGAGAGCCGGTCCACTTCTATGTCTCATGCCTGCTCGTTCAAATTTCTAAAGCTGGTCCATTGCGGCTGCAGCACGGAAGGCCCAAGGTCGGACACGGGGTGGCCCGGATCAGGGGGGGCGGTGAGTAAATGGAATCAATTTAGTAACGGAAATCACTTTTCCAAGCCTTAACAGCAGTTTGCGACAGTAACGGCAACCGAGCCGGCGGCGTAACCGGAACGAGTGCAGAGCCAAGATTGAAAGCAGGGCAAGAAGAGGCGGTTCAGGATACTGTCCGTAACAGTCCCTCCTGGATCCACGTAGGGGGTCCGGATCAGGACACGAGGCACAGATCAGATGCAGAGTGGGTCATGACATGGAGGTGGGGCCATGAATTGGACACCGGCCCGGGTCAGGACACAGGGAGTTGGGGAAGCAAGACTCTACCCACCCACCCCCTTCCCCACCTCGGGTCTCCACGTCCAACCCGTCTCCGCCCCTGCCTTCGCCTGCCCCAGTTCCACCTCTTCAGCCAACAGGTAAAGAATCATTGCAATTGCCATACAAATGCCTCGGGAGATTTGAAAGCCCACCCAGGTATTGCACAGGGCTATAGTATAGGGATCTTGTATTTTAGAAGGTCGTTCAAGAATCTACCCCACCCGCTTTTCCAAAGGAAGGGTGCAGGTGCAACTGGGTCCAGGGGGTCCCCCCCCCACCCCTGCCCCCCCCTCCTCCCCAAATTGTTTCCGTGCCACTCCCCTCCCTCTTTCAGCTGGAGGATCCCGCAATTTCCATACGAATGTTAAGGGAGATTATATAAGGCTATTCAGGTATTGCACAGGGCTCTGTACGGATACTGTATTTTACAAGGTGATACAGAGCTCTGTAAGGGGCTTTATGATGAGAATATATGCTAAGATTATGTAGGGATACTAGATTCTGCACTAGGAAGGGACAAATTTGAGTCTTCTTCCAGGCACTTCCGGGCTGCTACGGGCGGCGCGCATTAGCTTCAACATTAAAAGAGGCCTGGTCTGTGGCATGGTCCGGTACTTGTGTCTGAGACGGGGCCCTTGTGTGTCCGGTCTGTGGACCCTTTTCTCTGATGCGCATTTCGTGTGGGCCTTTGTGCCATGGGCCTGTGAATGTTGAGAAAAAGAGTCCTTGTCACCCTCATCTTCTAGGCCTACTTGCACGCAAAACAAATTCCAGCAAGTGGACAGGTGGAGCTCCCGCAATGCTTGCACCCATAGGGTCCAATCCTCAAGATCTGTGCAGAAGGTAAAATGACGCATGCCCTCTTAAGGCCCTGACGACTTTGTGATTCCAAACCAGCTCTGCAGCATCATCAGGCGCTGTATCACTCCCTGCCCCTGAAGTGCAATTGGCTATCAGTGCTTTGATGCCAGGTGGCGCTCGATCTTCTGACGTGTTCATGCAATCTTGGCTTCTTGCCGAGCGTGTAGCCGCCGCCGTGAAACCAAACGAGCACAGGATTTGGCTTGTCCCCGACTCCCCAAGTCGGAGTGTACCTGAGGAAGCAAGGCTACCAGCCTCTGGATAGGTTCTGACACAGCCCACGTGACAATCTGATGCGAAGTCACTGGTGGCCAATGCACACCAATTTAAGACGTTTTCAGGTGCATGATGACGGATGCCACGGAGAGAGAGCCGGCACATCTGGAATTCAGCTGAAGTTTGGTAGGTGCAGGTAGAGGCCCACGTCCGAACTCCCAAGAGCACGCCGCAGACATTCTGACTCGAAACTTTGGACTCAAAAACGAATTCATGACTGCCCAATGGACTGTTTGCGGCCGCTAAGCAGGCCCAGCCGACCCCAACCCAAGCCGAAACCCGGCAGCGCCAACGGTGCTAGATTCAGATGGATGCTTTTTGGCTGCCAGCAGCAATTGCTCGCACATAAGCCAAATAGCACTCTTGGCAACACAACCACAGAGATTTACGCGAGCATGCAGACGCACAAGATGCCCCTCAGCTTCAGAGTGTTGGCGCGTTAGTAGTCATCTTCTCACCCTTGTTCAGTCAACCTGGCAGCATACATGGCTCGTGAAAACATGTGCTTGAAAACGTCAGCCACGTTCTGCAGGAACAGCATATCCAGTCGCATGCAGGCATCTTGGCCTTGCCGAGTGGAGTGCGTGATTTAAAGGCATACCCTGCAAGCCTGCAAGGCATGGGCAAAACCACGGAACACACAACCCATCGCCAAATTTTTTGGCACCTTTGGCGCCGAGGAAAGCATGGCAAGATTTGCCGGTTTGGCAGTTCTAGCTGCTCTGTATCGAACGTGCTCACAGATGTCAGCTGAAATGGAGGTGGCCGGTCGGGTCCCAATGGTGAAAGTAGGCTCGCTTTCGGCTGGTCGAAACCAATCTGAAGTACTTGTTGGGGCATCGTCATCACAAGAGCTCGAGCGGCCTCCATGCAAAATGAAGGCCCATTCCAGAACGCTTCGGGGCACTCCTGCAGAAACTTCCTTAAACCTGTAAAGCGCTGCTTCATGTCAACAAATTCCTTTGCAAGCGCAAAGGTGAGGTGCAGTTGCGATGTTTCTCGTGCAATCCGCAAGAATGGCGAGGACTTTGGGTGCTCGCGGGCTTTTCAATGCTTCCGGCACTTGTTCTCCGGGGACTCCGCTCAGACACTTCAAGTGCTTCTGAAACATTCAATACTTTCCAGATCATTCCCACAACGCGACATGAGGTCATGCTGGATAGTGTCTCATGCCAGCAAGCCTGCGATTGCTCAACCTATCAGGAGCTTGCTTGACTCAGCTGGTTCCTATGCTGTCTGAGTTTAGCTGAGGTGCACATTCAGGTACAAGCAGTCCTCGCTAACACCTGCAGGATAGAAGCGGCATAATCTGACATCGAACATGCGCAACTAAGAGCACAGCAACATGCAGACTGCAGCAAGCCCCAAGCCTTCCTTTCCTCAGCTGGCAATTGTGAATAGCTTGCTGGCTTGAGGCTTGAGCTTGAGGACTGGCTGGCTGGAGCCTCAGCACCCCCGTTTTGGTCAAACCGCTTGGAGTCATTTGGGCTCAACTAAGCAGATGCGCTCTAGCAAGGATACTCCGGCCTGATAGCAAGCTTGCAAACGCAAACATCAAGCACGCTGTTACGTACGCAAGCGGCTGCTACGTGGTGCCAAGGAGCTATAGCCGCTTGGATGCATACACCTGGCAGCCAGCGGCTTCGCATGCCCCCAACCCTCTCTTGCATAGCCCTTGAAACACCAACATGTTACGTCCCAATCGCATTTTTACGGCTTTTGCCAAAAGCCATATGTAGGGTTAGAGCGCAAACCGCCCGCTGTTACATACCGGTACGTCACACGGATTTGTAATGGGCAGGGCCCTGGGAATTGTCACAAGCCAATCGCTTTGGCACCGGCCCATGTAGAAAATGAGGTAAGGAGTAACACATGAAGCAGTATAGAAAATGCGGAGCGCCTTCCTGAGCTTGTGCTGACAAAGGCACGCAGGGCGAAACTGCCTCGCCACCAGGGTCTCAGGCTTCCACGCAGCTGCTAGCACAGGCGGCTGGAATCGCTCGGCCGTCCCAAAGGGGATGCCCTGGCAAAGCAAAAATCGGGGAATCTAATTCTGCGACTTAGCCAGATGACATATCACATATCGAGCCAGCCTGGAACACGCGGGCGCTTGGGTACAAAGTGCCTTCAATAGTACCCAGCTCTGGGATGTCAAGATACGTAGGCATAATCCGAAAATACCTGGCAGCCATGCCAGCTTCCTCTAAGACACGGGATACTAGTAGCTGATGCAGCAGGCATAGAAAAACCGAGTGCTGGCTGGCGACGGGGAAGAGACTCTGGCCAAGAAAAGGAAGGCAAACACTCCCGTGCACAGAATCACCTACAGCAGAACAGTTGGCTGCCTTGACGAAAAAAACATGTTCTCAGCAGCTATAGAAAATCATTCATCTCAGGCCAACACCAGCCATTGCACTTCGGATTTGATGGAGCCATTCTTGTATAAGTTTTTGGAGGCCATCTGCAGAATGGTGCACAGTCTCAGACAAATGCAGTCGTCAACACACATGGCGCGGCAGTGCAGGAGTCTGGAAACGAATCGTGCAGCCGAGTTTGCATTGCCAAGCTTGGCTTAGTCTTGCATTACGTTCAGGGTCCACCTCCCTGGTGGTGCTCGCAAGTGCGCCAGCCTGCAGAGGCGCGGAAGCTGGAAAATTGCAAGCCAGCAAAGGTGAAAGGTGCCGTGAACCTACAAGTGGCAGCTTGAGTATAAACCTCGCAATCCGAGTCGCCGTAGTACAGCGCAAGTAATGGAAGCGTTCAAGCCTAAATGTATAATCTGCGTAAAGTCAAAAGCAATCTAAGGCGACAGCATGCAGCCACAAAGATTTGTACGGAGTCTGAATTGCATGCTGAACTGCGCGCCTTCACTTCCGACCCGCTCTACGTCTGGGGGTGGTGGTGGCGGGGCGGTGGTGGTGGCGCGGCGGTGGGGCTGGCGGCGATGATGGCCTTCAGTCTTTCCATTTTATCTGACATTTATGATCTTTTCCTTTCAGATGCGTTCTTGATTATTTTCCGATAATTGACTGATTTGCAGAGTTTGTAGTGCGGCTTCTGTCAGGGGTCATCAAGGCCCTGGTCTTCTTGTGATCCGTTTGATTAAGAATCCTGCAAAACATACAGGTGCATATTTGTCATGACCTTTTTGTTGACAGCTGGCTTGTGACTTCAATGCGCCCAATGCGCTCTTCGCAGCAGCTACCTTACCCTGCGCGAGGACTCTTCGATTTTACATGCTGCAAAGTCAGGTCAAGTCAATGCGTAAATCCTCGATCTAGGCCCCATGCCTTCTCCATAGCAACATCCAGTTGCGAAGATGCCCCACGGATGAATCTCGCTGCTGCATTTGTGACACCGCCCTGCGAATGACAAGCAACGCAGAGAGCAGGATTCACGGTACTTTCCTGCTGCTTTGCTTTCCCAGCCTACAAGCTAGCGAACCTGAGGAGCCAATCACAACACTGAGCCCAAAAGAACGAGAGGTCGTCCTTGCTCCCTCGCGATGGCATCAATGGTTCGCTGGCAGCCATTGAGAACGCTAAACGCCGGGACGAGCCCGAATTAGATGAAGCTGACAACTGTGGATAAGACACATGCAAGCATGAGCCCCTAAACTCTGCACATCTCTGCACTCTTGGCTTTGAACATTTACTTGTCTGATATGTGTACTCCTCAACTAAGACCCCTGCAGGTGAACCCTTGCGCTTGCCTTTGCTGTTGCTACGCATGGTGAGAACTGAAAGGATGCAGCCAACGTTTCATCATGCTTGCGCTCATTCCGCCTGTAAGCCTGACAGTCGGACATGAGCAGCGATCCCAACTACTGCACATCGTGAACAATGTAACCTGCGGCCTGCTTTCCACGTTAGAAGCTCAAACTTAGGTGCTGTTAGCCAGAGTCACAGCGTTGCCTTCAACTGTTGTGCTTCCTGCGTGACTGCGAGAAAGGAGATTCATTCCAAAGCAGAATCTCGGCTTGGAACATACTGGCGGCATGTTGTGAACGCACCAGCTCTGTCCAAACGTTAGATTGTTTGGCTGGAGATTCAATGAGGCCTCACAAGCTCCGGAACATTTCAACATGGTGAGCAGGCGAGCTCGGTGCAAATACATGCGCGCATTAATGACTGACGCTATGGCTAAACCGCTCTACTCAACTCTCTTCATTCTCTTCACTCGTTTGACCTGTTTGCTGGAGAGGAGCGCCCCCTTCAGACTCGTACGGTGAAGTATGGCGAAGCACGACCAAACAGCATCTGTGGCCGAAGAAATTCAACCCGCGCTTTTTTCAGGCATGCCAGCATTGCGTTACATCTGCTTCTGCCTGCAGGAGATATCTCCGCATGCCTGACGCTGCTACAACTTTTCGGCTAAACTGTACAGCTCAGATGCAGGATGGGGAATGATGGGGAAATTGCGAGCGGCCTTGCAAGCCGAGCACTGTCAATGCATGAATGCCCCGCCAATCCCCGCCAGAGGCAAGCCCGCCGCTGCTGCGTTAACAGAACCAGTGTAAGAGTGTTGAGGTATGCTGAGACCACAGGCTACATCCGCGGAAGTGAACTTTAGGGTTCGGACTTCTGTGTAGTTGTGTTTGTAGGTATCGAAGGAACTCGTGCATACGTGGTACTAAAATCAGGTAAATGCTACGTATGTGCTGTGCGGGTCAGCCCTCAGAGAGTAATTTGCACTTGCTACAACTAGCATGAAGGAAAAACTTAAAATGAGCCCATGAAGAAGCAATAGTGGGTAAAGCCAAAAAAAACAATCTGGCGCGACCTTGTGAAGCCTTTTCAGCAAAAGCAAACGACAGATGCAATGTCCAACGGACCAAGCACTATGCTGTATGAGGTTTTGCGAGGGCTTTGGCTGTTTGGCATTTTTCCTGCTCGTGCAGGGTTGTTTATGTATCAACATCAGGGTTGATCTAGGGGATTGTTCGCCTTTTGGGGGATCAGTTGGGTGGTTCGGGATTGACGGTTATTGAGGCATTGGACTTGTGAGTCGTTACACTTTTTACTCCTCCAACCTCAGGTGGTTTCGGGGTCACATCTTGAATTTAGAAATTGCAATTGACCACTCAGGGTATTTGGGGAAGTTGGGGATTTTGGGGCAGGTGTTCTAGGATATCTGGCTTCTGAATGCCTCAGAGTCTTAAGGATTTATCAGGGGGCTTCACGGTCTCTGGAGGTTCACTGGCCTTCTTATTGCCTTCTGGGTTGGGCTTGCGGGAGGGGTTGCTGCCCATAGGGTTTGGGGTTCTGGGCTTTCTCAGATTTACAGGATTTGGGTTTCAGAGGTTTCAGTCTTACTTCGGATTAGCTGCAGGGAGCAGCCAGCGTTTGCTCGAAAACTTGCGTGCCGTCCCAAAGAAAAACTCTGGCCCCAAACGCTCTGAAAGCAACGTGGTTGTCGAATGTCATGCGCTGTCGAATCCAAAAGACACTGGAGGGCGAGGTGATTCTGTACTTCAGTTTCAAGCCATGGGCTGGGCGCAGGCACTAAGTACTGAACGGGTTGGATGTAGCATGATGTAGGTACCCAAGCTTCCTCCCAATGAATCTGTGCTGTTTCTTGAGCTCATGGTGTCATGCTATCAGACATCAGGGGCCATGATGCGTATTCTGCGGGCGTCTGCCAAGGTTGCAGGCGAGAAGATCGTTCCGTCTTGCTTCGCCAGGCCTGGAATTTGCATCCGAGCACGAAGGACAATCCCAAGCCAAGAATGACACACACGTTTGGAAGAACCGGCAATGGAAGGCTCTCCATGAAAACGCTGGGTGCAGGCATCTGCATTGCTGCAGTTCTGACATCAGCGCAGACTCTCCGATACGTTTTCATATCTCTAAACCTTCTCATGGCAGGGGGAAGAAAAGACCTCAGGGAACAAAGTCCAAGAATGTGCCCACTTTCCTGCTGACACCACGGCAACTTCAAAGCAACGGATCTATGCAGCCATCGGAAGAAAGTTTCTTGCCCGTCGGAAGACCTGTATACTTCCAACAGCAACGTGTCTGTGTATGGAGGCCATTGACCATCCCAAACACCCAGCGCGACAAGCAAGACCAGGATGGTTGTATCATGTGTCGCCCAGAATGCCAGGGGCATGTAATTTGGAGCATCAAGCGGGGCCAAACTTTCAAAAGCTGCTTGTTGTTGCAGGAATTGGTCAATCTCCACTAGTGCCGGGGCAGCAAGAAGCTGCATGTTCTCAAGAGACTCCGGGTCGCGCAGATCAGCGGAGTAGTGCTCTTGAAAAAGTGCCAGCGAGATTGCCAAGGCTTCCTTGAACAAGCTGGAGTTGGGTTGCAGAGCTTCGGGCAATCGTAATGCTTCTTGTCCAGAGCACTGCGCAACTAACAGGCAATCCTTGAAGCTTGCTTGAAACTCGGTTCCTGCAGCCTCTCTCCATCTGCGTGCAAAGGATGGAAATCGGCGTTCAATGAGTTTTGGGTCTGTCTTGAAATGTCGAGCGTGGCGTGCGTTGCCAACGCGGGGACAGTGCTGGTTCAAGTCCCATGGATCACTCGACGTAGGGCGCGAAAAAAAGCTGGCCTCTGCAGACTCGTTTCCAAAAAGATGTTTATGCAAAAGAAACAGAGTCGCTTGGGTACGCTCCTTGCCGGTGGAGTACATTCGAGTGGTCCATGGGGTTGGCGATGCAGGCAGCGAGTTGAAGTACCTATGCTTGATAGAACGAGCCAGTGCGATGGTCTGCGGAATAGCTTCGTCCAGTAACACTCCTTTTCCACAGCCCGGGATCTGCGAAATGTAGCCGGAACCGGGCATGTTCTCTTCCATGCTAGGATACGCATCCAAAATCTTCTGTGATAATGGCATCGGTGCACCACCTTCTGTCTCTGAGAATGCAACCAGCCGCTTCAATGAACAGTTCTTGAAGCTTGTTGTCATTGGTCTGAAGCAGCTCTTGTCCGAAGATAAATCTCTTGCCCCGTGACGAAAGATCACTTGCACCCCGACGAGACGTACTCCAGCCTCCTTCAAAACCTCAGGTAAAGGTGGGCCACTGATCGCAGCTTCCTGTGCCAATGGCGGGTGTGCACAGTATCCTGCATACGGCTGTTCCAGCGCCTTGCTAAACTCTGTCGGAGTTGAGGCAAGGGAGCAAGGCAGGAGCAGCAAAAGCAAAAAGATGTCTTCGACCATGTCCTTTGACTTCAAAAGCACGAGGTTGGCTGTGGTTGGCTATGGCGATCTCGAGCCAGAGCACAACACAGCGAGGGAAGACTTCAACACAGCTCTGCCGTGATTGCTAGTGACCCTGCACGGCCTCGCAGCGAAAAGCTTCAGCTGATGATTTCAGCAGAGGCCATTGCTATGTCTTCCCGCCCACGATGATCATGGCAACTGCGCCTCGGCCACAATAACTGAACATCACAGATCCCAATACAGACACCTTGGTGTCTTAGGGCAAAGCATGTGATCAGGCCGATGGTGACCGTCCCTAGGAAGGACCAGAGAACGACGACCAGGAAATAGCACCAGTACCTCCAAGCTTATGTTGCAAGTCTTGTCTTAATGCTACCCCCCGGCATTCCCACATTCATGGACTGGCAAGAGGCTCCTGTCACAATCCGCTTCGGCATGTGACAGCACGCTATACTAGAAAGGACGCGTGACTGAACCACAACATACCGCTAAGCGCACACCGCAGACCAAAAGGCCGTCCGATCGCTCCACGTTCCCACGCACACACGTGCGCTATCAAACTAAAAGGCGACAGCGACGAGATGCACATGCTCCCAGCTCAAGCAGCTGCTGCACTCCACCACACCTTTCACATCTTTTTACCTAGAACGGCAGGTTGGGCCAGCAGCGCTGTGGCGAAGCGATGTACGACTGTGTGCCATGTGCTTCATAATTTCACGAAGGTTGCCCCCTTCAGACAGTCTGTTCGGACTGAAAACTGAAAAGACGAGTTTTAGAATGGCCCTTCCTTGAAAAATCTTGTTTGTCATCCTTCCGCAAGCTTTGCGGTCTTGGGTCAGCAGGTGAATGAGATTTTGCCACACTTTCCACAACGCTTTCCCATCCATTGCCTGCCCAGACCCTCTCAGAAGCCCACAGAATCCACAGACTACTCTCGCCTACCACGCCAGTTCAATCTCTACTCAAGGCAAACAGGCCGCCAGAGCCAAGCATACACGAGGTATACATGGAGCGCGTCGCAAACGAGAGTGCACCCAATCCTACATTGAATGCAATTTCAAGGAAAGACTATACGAACACGGTTTCCAAAACGATGTTTGAGAGAACGGGCCAACAAACTTCGTTGACAATGAAACACATTTCCTCGACAACGTGGCCCTCTGTCAACTCTGCACCTGGTCCTAATGCAGGTTTAGGTTTAATACGAGTCATTGACCTGCATGCCGCCATTTCACTTATATCTCAAAGGGCTGTAGACTGATTGCGCAGGCCCTGCAAGCAACTGTGGCTGGCACGCTCCATGAAACAAGCCTTTCACAGTTCGGAGAGGAAACTGGCAACCAACTCTCGGCTGGAAGTGCTCACGAACAAACTGTTGCTACTAAGGAACAGCATGACGTCCGAAACAATGAAGAAGATTTTCCGATACTGTTTTTTTGCAGAATCCATTCTGCAAGAACCTGGCCCTAAATGGCCCCAATAATTTAATAGCTGACAGGAACAAAATGCGGACTGCCCTTTCGTTCGGCAAAAGGACGAGCCAGTCTCTGCAAAGGTCAGTGGGCACCAGAGATACGGCGCAGAATCCACGCATGCCTCTGTACCAGCACCTGATGGTAGCAGCGGCTATCATGACAGTGAGACGCTTAGGCGCAATGCGTGGATCTGAGCTTTGCACTTACCCATGACGTTCCCAAAATGAGCCAAGCAAATGAACCTTCGCGTCCATGGTCAAGCTTGAGATGCTCAAGGCTCAAGATTACCCAAGATCGAGAGTGCCCCGTTGTCCTGCGGTACCCAGTGTGGGACAAAGATTGACTGTGCTGAAATTGACATGAAGCCGCTTTAATGAAGCCATTGGAAAAGTTCCATACCCTGCTGCGCACATTCAAAGACACTAGGAGGATCAGGATATCTCCGGTGGCTGGCTGGCGGCCTGCGCACGCAGCAACTTCTGCGAGGAAGCCCTGGCGGAATGCTGCCTGTGCATCCTGACGGTGATCAAAGTCACGTACGTTGTTCATTGGGCCATCGTGTTCACTCCCAGTTTAGCTGCGCGACTGGCAAATGCATCAGGTCGTCAAACTGTTGAGAGGCCTCAGGCAGTGGTAGCCGAAACATGTTCCCCACCACGAGATTACAATACAGCAAGCTTTTTGATAAGCTCAAATCCGTCTCTCGCTGCCGTGGGAGGGATTCGCCTCTGCTAGGAATCAGCTAGTATGCTCCATCAAGCTCAGAATTCATGAGCACGTCGCTCGAGCACTCGTCCATCATGTACCAGGTGACTCCATCCACTGAGCCCTACACATGATTCAAACTCTCAGTGGTGCAACTGCAAGCGAACAAACCAGCAAGCCAGCCACACGCAGCAGAGGTGGACAGTGACACCGTTAGTGGCTAGAGGATGTGCAGTTATCGAGAATGTTGCGAGACCTTTTTTAGACTTCTGCTGAGGCCCTTGGCACTCCAGCACCCTTGACTTTCCCCCAGGTACCCCTGGCTGTCCTCGACCACCCAAGAGCTGGGATCACACTCTGGACCCTCAATCCTGCAATGTTGTGGCAAGTAACATCATAGACAGGAAAGATCCGCAAGCGGCACCTAAGGCACCTAAGCATGTTTCAGTCACCTGGCCGCTTCTGACGAGCGGCCATGTTACTGCAACATGCTTAGGTGCTTCACTGTGCTTCTCCCACGCTAAAACGCGGTGTGACCACGGCAGACATCGGCTGTTGTCCTGTGGGTTACAATCTGGTATGCCGTGACCTGACAAGCACAGGTGCTCTCCAAAGACGCACGGTTTACACTCCGCGATATGAGCGCGTCACTAGCTCGGGGCCATCGCGAATTTCCACAAACCTCAGGCCGCAATGAACATGTCAGCAAATGTCAACAACAACTCCGACATTGCTCGCGCACGATTTTGCAAAAGCGTAGATGCCGACCAGTAGTTTCCCTCGTGACGTTCATCCACAAGTGAGCGATGAATGGCGCCTCCGCACCTGCCATCGAGCCGATTTTATTGTGAAGATGCCACGGCATGGACTTCAAGCAATGCGCTGCCTGTTGTAGAGTACAACTGTGTCCAACCTCAAGCTGCCCCAGGGTGCACGCAACAAGGCATCCAGCATCATCCCTAACTAAACAGAGGCACATGCTTGAAGTTGTCTGGGTCTGCGCTTCCGCGGATCTTCTTGATGGTGAAGCGGACGACTTTTGTTCTGCGTGCACGGGACAACGTCTACATTTAGGGTGAATCTCACAGAGCCTTCCACGACACATTGCAAACACTGTACGGTTGACGCTAAACTTTGCTCGCTCCACTTTGCTCGCCCCGGCTATCAAAAACGAAGACGCCCAGCAGCTCAACCCGAAAAATATTACGAAGTGACATGATGCGGGCCTGTGGTTTCTGCTAGTCCCTGCCGGCATATGAAATGGATCCGCTAAATCCAGCCCTTACAACACAGTGACTTCACACATTCAAATCTGACCACCTTGTCATAACAGAGGGTGAAGACATTCGGCTCCAAGCAACATTTCAACACATGTAAGCACTTGTGGCTGGCCTGAAGTTGGTAATTGCTCGCGAACATTCGCGAACTACGGTTCTGATTTTGCTTGGGGAGGCTGGGAGGACTGCAGAGGGATGACTACGCTCTGAAAGGCATTTCATTTAGCGAGCAGCATGAATAAGTGTCCACAGCCGTGAAGGTTGACACTTCCTGGGATGACCATGCTTTCCTTGCTGGCGTCATAGCCGTCTTGGGCCTTTGCTCTATGCAGGCACCAACGTTACATAGGAAAAAATTGCCGCGGTATCTGCAGTGAGGTTGGAGTACTTACTTGGAAGCGCACTTGAGGTTGGCGGGATTGACGCTCAGCTGCTCAGCCGCATTGCATTATGAGGTAGTCGCATTGTTCAAGCATTCTGGCGGCAAGGCTTTCTGCGCGCTAGCTGCACCACACTCTGCCAAGAGAGCTTGTCAGTTCGCGCCAGTTGACAGTTTTGCGCGAGAATCGACAAGGACGGCTACGATGACGAGTCCTCATCTGTTTTTTTTGAGAATGCGAACCTGCTCTTCTAGAATTTTGCCTGTGCCAGCAGCCTTTCTGGTCAGTCAGTTTGGATGCTTCTGAATGGCCACGACCCAAGAATGTTTTTTTGACCGAAAGGCAACCATTTGTAACCGCTGGAGTGCTCTCGCGGTTGCTTTGCGTAGCAGTCCTGAGGGCAGCGAATCTGGGTCAGTTTCAGGCTCTTGCGTAGCATGCCAGCTAGGTGAAGCTACAAGTCCTGGCTAGATGTTTTTTCCGAAAGGGGAGGACCCTCTAGACTGAGGCTGTGATCCACAGGGTCGGCAGAGTTCATGAGTATGAATGAGTTTGGAGCCGGTATGGAACGAAGGGGTCTGGATTGGGACGCAGGGGGATGATCCAAAGGTTCTCGTACTGAGAATGGAGCGGAGAGCGTTGTCACCGCATTCCAGACCAAGCATCAATGTAAACTCCCTTTGTGCCAACAATTTCTCCGCGTAGGAGACCTGTAGAAAACACCATTCGAGATCAAACACCAAAAACATCTTGAGGTCAAAAACAAATGAAGCTCAAGAACAAATTAGAAGCGCAGTTTGGAGGGAGATTCAGCTAAAGCGCCTTGTGGCATGCGACAGGGCCGTGCCCAATTTGCAAACAGTGACGATAGACGGCGTCGACGTGCTGGAGAAAGCATAGTATGTGAAGGTCCGACAAAGCTGCAGATACTGCAATTCACAGCAGCTGGAGCTCTGCCAACGTTGCGCATGCAGCAATCTACAGCATCTGGAGGTCTTGAAGCCTGCGCGGGGATATTTCCATTTGCCACACTGCAAGTTCTTCCAGGGTGGGATACCATAGTTCAGGCCCCTCAAAGCTGCAGATGCCAAGCTACAGCATTCGGGGCTTGTCAGAGGTTGTCCTGTAATGTGTGGCGTTTGGAGTCTTGAGATGTTCAAACACTGCGGATGGCGAGACTGCTTCGCAAGTTACAGCATTTGGGATCCTTTGCGGCAAGATGTAGCAAGCTTGTTCTTATGGTCTGCTACGAGTAGTGTCTGCTTGGTGTCAGGGTGCACGACTGAGGCATCACCACACACAGCAAACAAAAACACTCCTGGAACGTGATCAAAATCCAGGCCGGTTGCACGGCGGAACTGAGTGCTGCAAGGCGTAGCTTTGCCCTTGCAGCGGAACGTAACAAAAGACTTCTGTCCGCTGCCTTCGTCTCCAAACATGGCGTGTAAATCTGTGAGTGTCAAAACCAAGACTATGATTACGTCATGCGCAAAACAATCGCACATCGTGTAAGGTTGCGTATGACACTTTATAAAGAGGTGAAGCGTAGCGGCATATTCTTGTAGTTGTTATCTTCCAGTGGAAAAGGGAAGCCTATCTGAGCGCTTTCATTGCAAACAACTTCAGGTACGAAGATGTCATCGTCCCCGGATGTCCCCGGTCATCAAATATCCACCCAGGCTTGCCGTGTTTGCGTCCGAGCGGCTCACTTAGGACACGCTGCAATGTCTAGAGCCAGAAAATTCGATTTCGCAAAAGCAGAGGAAGGTTGGACTGAGAGAGAAGCCCAGGCTGAGCCAAGGAAAGCTAACACAGTGAAACGCAGGAGATCGAAGTGCTTGATTAGATAGCAAACGAAAGGCTGCTACCACAGCGTCTCGTGTCCTCCTAAGCAGGCAATGCTGTCCTGGGATCATCCTTCATGACCACACGGTGCACCAGGTCAGTCACTGGAAATCCCAAAAGAAGTCCACCTGAAGAATGCCACGCTCGTGTATGGAATGCGCAACCCACAAGAGCGCCGCAGCATGTTGCTGCCCTGTTGCTGTCAAAGCAAAACTGCAGACACGAATCTGGCATGCTGTGAGGCTGTGAGAGCGCGGCCTATCAGCCAGGTCCTGGAACTCAGGACATCTCTGAAGCATGCTGCCTCATCTTATGGCTCCTCTGTGCCTTTCTCACCCCTCTCCGATCTTAGGTTGCCAGCTTTTGCCAGTCAGAACGCAGCTGCATGTCTTCAAGCAATTATGATGAATACATTCCGAGCAAGGTGGGGGCCCGATTCTGAGCTGTCCCGGAAATGCGTTGGCTGGGAGATTCTGAGTCGATTGCGCACTTGACTTGCGCCCTTGTAATACCATACGAATGAATCTGCGTTCGCAGTCATGCAGAAACTACTGCGGCACCTCTGCCAACAGGCTCCTGCGTTACCATGCAAATGCTAGTGTACTGGACATCTTTCAAGATGGCTCTTGACAAATGTGTGACATCCGGCATTCTGGAATGGAAGGACTGTTTCGAGGTGGCAAATCATGTGAAAACAGCCTTCATACTGGCTGGCATGTTGACGGCAGCCGGGGGCAAGACAACACTTGCTAGAGTGGGCAGCAACTGGCCCGCATGTACAATCTGAAGCTGATCAAAAGCTCAGGCGGGCGGATTTTGCAGTGAACGTCCTTAAGGGCACGTCGCACACGTAGTATAGGCTGTGGGCCACAGTCGCAACAGTCACGACGTCCGACCAGTAGAACACGCGGAGAACCCCTGGCAATTGACAACAATGGTGGCAAACAGAGCTCGAAAAACTGATCGCTAAGAACGCATATTGACTATTGAGCTTGATGGTGCTCACTCATCGAAAACAGGACCAAGCGACGTGGAATGAACTTGCACCACCCGGTCTCTTTATCGCCCTGTCCAGGGGAAACAGGCAGACAGCAATGCCAGCTGGAACGATTCAGCCGCCTCTTTCTCATCGCTGAAAGGATCGAGAAAAGGCTGCACCTTGCTACAACTTGCTACAGCAGTGCTTGCACTGCTTGCATCCCCTGGTTCATCAAAAAGCTGTACGGTGTATGATCAGCAAGTTGACATCCTCTGCTCTCGTCCATCATGCAAACAGTATCAAACGCTGCTTTCTCCCGGCATGATCGGCTTTCATTGAAAGAAGACATGCTACAGTAGCTACAGGCTTGCAAGGATGGGACTGAGCCATGAACCACTGTCCAAATGCGCGGAAGTGCCGCTTGGATAATGCTTGTAGCCATCGCTGGAACAGCAGTTACAGCCTGCATCATGGATTGCCTCGCCCCAATCAGATTCACAGCATTTGAGGAAGAAATGGCCATCGCTGAATGCTGAGGCTATAACGTTGGAGCCGGCAATTTAACCCTGCCGAATCATGCTTTGGACTTCAGTGTCGAATGTGGTGCAGTGCAATCTGCGCTCGCAAATCCTCTGAGAGACGCGCAGCACATCTGCTCTTGTTTGGCGCGAGCACGGAGCAAACAGAAAATCCTCGACTGGCATGTCTGCTATGCAACAGCAAATGTTTCTGCTGCCCCGAACAGCCGCCTCATGACGACCCCGTAGGGCAACTTTGTCTCCAATGGAGTCCAGACCTTGCTTTTCCAAAGCATCTGCGTCCCATTGCGCATAGCCCAGTCTCAGAGAGTCAAAGGTCCCATCTGAGGAAGCTCTGGAGCTCACCGTGCCTTTGGCAACTGGTCATACTGGTCTTTCAGACAGAGGCAACGGGTGCAAAAGCCTAATTAGTAAGCGCAGGGGTTTTTTAGTTGAGAGTCGCACCGCGGCTTGCATGTTGGCCTCACAAACTCGGAAAGCCTGATTTGAAGCAGCAAGCATGCCAGAAAGTTTGAAAGCATGTGCACCAGTCAGGGGGTTCAGGGACATTTTTCACTGCCTCCATCTGCCTGAGCCTCGGGCGAAATCTCGTGCAACTGCTTCGCATGCATTGGCTACAGTCGTGTGGAAGCCTATGCCCTCTTGCCTGCAGCCGTGCTGCCCTAGCGCACGGTTTCAGAAGACTGAAGACTGCACTGAACACGAGAAGCGTGAAAGCCCTCTCATCCTCATCCTCTTATTATGTTAGGCTACATGGTCGAATCAAGGAAGAGCCTGGAGCAAGACCAGCGGAGACGCGAACAGTCATTGAGTGCCTGAATTTCCTGTCCCTGACTGGTCGTCAAAGCGTGATTTTGGCACGGCAGCTGCAGGAATCATCTAGAGGGTCAGCCAGCACTTTGGCCGGGACGCTTCAAAGGAACCTGTTAAGTGACTCCCAACAATTTTTGTGACAATCAAGAGCGGCTCAGCGCACGTCTGCGTACCCTTGCAGCTGTGGTATGACCTGCAGTGTGGCATGGGTGTCGTCCATGTAACAGTGGCAACGACACTGAAGTACAACCGAAGCGATTGACGATCACAGTATAGAAATGGGAAATGCAGGGCTACGCGCAGAAGCATTTCAGATCGCGTACAGTTGGGGTTATTCAGAAGCACGGGTCTCATGGTACAGGCCAGCAGCCACATGTACGCGCACACACTCTCACCAGGCAAGTGCAGATGCCGTGGACTCCCAATAGCATTCAGCATCCGAAACACAATCAAATATGCATGAAGTTATGAATGAACATTTTGATTCCAAAGGCATGCCAGACTCTAGGAATGGCATATTTCCAGTACTGAGTGAGATGAGTAGTTTGGGATATGGGTCCTGCCCCGCTGTGCCAAACACAAGTAAAGGCACAGCATGAAGGACATGAAAATGAAGGATGAGTCCCTCAAAGCTGTCATTGCGGGACCCATGAGCGAACGAATGTGGGTACGTTTTCCTGGGATGGGGTTGGGGGAGCTTTGTTGGCTCCTCACCCCTCCCCATGCCCATTCCCCCGTGTACAACAGCTTGCACAGGCACAGCATCACAAGGAGAAATAATCTCCCCCAAGAAATTTTGCTCCAAACTGGTCTCAAAGGGTTGGAGGCGGATGTGCAAGATTCGCAAACAAGAGCACTCAGAGGCTAGTGGGCTCTACACAGTGGTGGCATAACATTGAACATGACTCGTGGGCTCTACAAAGGAGTGACATAACAGAGCAGAAGTCAGTGAAATACATGGTGATGGCAAAGCCGCAGCGGGTTGGCGCAAATCAAGGAGCGAAAACCCACTGATGCCAAACAAGTCTGACACAGGCAACCTGTGACAAGCTCCATAAGGCCATGGTTTATGCAACCTCAAAATCTCTAAGTGATAGAGATTTTTTAGAACGTGATTCAAGAAGAGTTTGTGAAGAGACTCAGAACCCTAATAGAAACTTCATGAAACCGTCATAAAACCTTCGAGAAAATATGTACCAAGGAAAGACCCGGAGGCGAGAAATGGAGACCCAATAATCATGGGACTGGGGTGCTCTCACTGTGAGCTTTATCAACAATCGCAGTGCAAAGCTCAACTAGCAGGTGCCGCAAAAACAGTGGTGATCCAGCGCAGCCGCACGCCTGGAAAAAGCTATGCTTGGAAGGGGGGCCTGTCACAGTCCAGATGGCAACGCTATGCCACTTTACTGCATGCAGCTCCATTTTGCATTTTGCATCGGCTTGCCAACTGATCTACTGGATGCACAGTACCAGCTGCCTGCCCAATCAAGTGCCACATTGTGCTTATGCTGTGGCTTACAGAATGTGATGAAGCTGTTGTAAGAGCCGACCCAGAGCGAAGTCCGTTGAAGGCTTCACAAAGTCAGGTCCTGTCAGCACTGGCGCAGAACCAGCACGCCGAAAACCCCTCCCGGAGACCGAAACTGAATGGCAAGGCTTGAACTTGAAGATGACTTCGAGACTCAAGAGGGAGGTGACAGTAAGTTGGTGCATCACAAGAGACGCTTCCTTCTGGTTGAGGGGTGCTGCCTTCTGCTTCAGGCATTGCCACGCGCCAGGGGGATACTGCTTGAGTTAGAGCCATGAGAGCATTGGCCGAAAGCTTTTGCCCTTAGTCCTGCTGCCGGTGCCGCGCGTGTGTGCGTGTTGAGTCGACATGAGTCGACCAACCCTCCCCAACACTCTGTCTCCGAGCCAGTGTCCCCAGCTTAATTTTTGCCTCAATGCAGGGCACCCTCTGTCGACAATGACTCACTTACTCACCCACCCACCCACCCACTCACTCACTGTCATCACGGGGCAACACGAGCTTGCGCAAAAGTCCGGATACAGCCTTTGCTTCTCTTTCACTGTGTGCTGCTAGCAGCGGTGGGCAGCTTTGCAAACCTCCGTGCAAGGTTCTGCACAAGTTTCTTGACGCAGTATGTTCTGCTCCTCTTTCAGTGAATTTCTGGCTGCGCCTGTTTGATGGTAAGATAAGATGGATATTTGGAATTCTTTCCCTTTCTGAACGCGCAGTGTCCCAGGACTCGTGACAGCATGCGATGGTCTACCCTCAAAATCGGCCAGATCAGGCCATCGCTGGGGTTCACGCCATATCCCTCTCACACAGCCTGCAATAAGCTCCACGAGGATCACAACCTCAAGCAGGCCAGCAATTCTGCTGAGGCAGCATCCAGAGACCGCTAGACAACAGACCAGCAGCATCTCAGCAGTACTTCGAGGTAGTGCCAGTAACGCCGTGCAACATCTCCTCCTTCTAGACTTCTCAGGCACTGGCCGAAGTTTCGCTGAAAAACATTGCTCTCCACCTTATCCGCGGAAGCCTTTGGGGAAAGAATGGAATTACTGATGAATGTGAAGTTCTGCAAAGCTTCACTTCAAAGCCTCGTGAGAGAGAAAGAAATGACGTGGCCCTTCGCCTCAACAGCCGAGATTCTACAAGCTCATATGGGCTGTTGCCAATATTCTTGTTCTTGGAACTGACCTTGATTCGGTTTTCCCTGCGTGCCGCCTCATGTGGTAAGTATCTTG